TGGCGGCGATGACGCAACGTGAAAACCACCTATAGGTGAAACCCACTCCCTTTTAGGGGGCAAATTAGCTTTAAGGCCCTCTCCTCCGAAGAGGCTTTCGCTGGGCATCCCAATAAAAATAGCAAATAATCGAAAAAAGCAAGCGCGCGGGTGACGATGGGAAGAGGGAAAAGCCTCGCTTCCTCTCTTTCCCCTTCCCATCGTCTCCCCGGGCTTTTTTTTTCCTCTCCCCAGCCCCCCTACGACACAAAGAGGCCTCAGCGGATCGGTGAGGCTTTAATGCATAAGAGGATGTACCCAACAAAGCTTTATACGGGGAGGCTCCGAGGTCCAACCCCTAAGGCTTTTACAAACCATTTTTGACATAGAGGATAGCCTGCGTAGCAGGCGTCGAAAGGGGTGGGGGATAGGGAAAAAGGGAGGGGGTGCTTTTCTCCCTCCCCCTCTTCCTCCCCTTTTTGCGACTGCCACGCAGGCTGCGTAGAGGATACCCCTTTTGACAAACGGTATTCTTTTCACATACCTAGTTTAACTGCATCCCTTTTGACTGTCTTAAATGCACTGTCTAGTAAGGTTTAGAAAACGAGCGGAGTGTATTATCAGGTTTAAAAACTCTAGGCGAAACCGAGAATTTTTACACCTGATAAATACACGGCTGCGACTTGTTTGAATGGCTTCAAAATTATAAAGATCAACTCATTCTTGCACTAATTGACAGATTTAGCTAAGACAACGTGACCGCATTGACGACGGCGCGGGCAAATATAAAACTCGACTTGACCAATCGCAGAGCGATAAAGTGAGCACCAAAAGTCGCAGTCAGTCTCTTTCGCGCGCTTTCCCGTAATCTTTCATCTGTTAAAATCTCCGCCGTCCTATCGCTTTAGTAATGGTTCATCCCTAACCCAAGGGTTTTGAAAATAGAACGCGGTTTGCGCGTGAAGATGTCGGACTCTGCCCCTTTTACGGTTCGACCGTGAAAGAATGCAATTTGTTTTCGAGGACATTTTGCTCAATAAGATTATAAGAAATCACCTCCTTTCCGGAAATATGCATCATTTAATAATGTTACCCTTATTATCTCATGCAAAAGATCATGGAACTTTGCGTGACATCTTTGGCGCTCGACAACTGAGAGCAAAAAAAAAATTGTCCAACTCTTGGCAATGAGCCAAACCATTCACTCCGTGTGCTGCGAGGACAATTATTTTCCAAAGGAAAAATTTAAATTATTTAATAGTTTGTTTCACTCAGTGTACCTTGTTTTTACCAAAGTTTGTTTTCTCCTGTATTGCCGATTTGTTTGCCGTGCGTTATCTGTGGGTCGTATGTGACGAAGACAAATGCTGTGTTGTGACACAGCGCGCAGGAGACATTCGCGTCGCTCGGCTTGTTTACGTTCGCACGTATTGCGTGCCTATTGCAACTGTGAATCAAAACAAGCGAACTCGATTACTCGATTTGGGCGAGGCCCAAATAAAAAGCATCTGTTAGCCCTTTTAGGTCCTGTTTGAGTGATTTTACTTGACCTGTGAGACAGATACTAACAGCTGGTTCAAAATAGCAACAAGTAAACAAAAGAAAACGATGTAATACTATTAGTCAATAATAGTGCATAGTATTCTACTACCTATTTCACGAGTTAAGTAAAATCACTCTACAGACCAAAAGGACAGATTTCCCTACCATTGTATATACTTCAACTCGTGTAATCCCTACCTTTTTACATACCTGAAGCCTCAAAAATGTACCTCGTTTGGGTGGGACCATCCCACTGAAGGCAATTAGCGCACCCTCCCTTCCGAGGTTTAGGCCCGGGTGAAACGTATAGCCATAACTTCACATTGGCCGAACTTGATCGAGTCCGGTTAGTGTGAAACCCACTTAGTTTGGCTAATCGATTTCATTTGGATCGGCTGAGACTTTCTTCATGGCTGGAGTCAGCATGAAGACCAGGTCTCAACAGCCGTATATAATAATTCTGGTTGACTCAAACTGTAGTTAATGAAGTATGGCATTTTCACAGGGCCTAAGCTGAAAACAGATATAATTTTGGGGCTGGGGTGAGACCACCCTGTTAGCAGAGACTCCTTTTGTCTTCTTGAAGGAGCAAGAGAAAAGCAGGCTCTGCCTGAATTGTGTCAAGCCTTTGAAGACACAGCAGCCCAAACTTCTGCATGCTCAACAAAGACCTTAATCAATAGGCAAATCTCTTCTGATGTCATTGTTTACATTTTTCCTCATTAGCATATGACTCAACTCATACAAGCCGTGGTAGTAGATATGAACCAAACGCAAAAATTGAAAGAGCTGATTGAGTTGAGGAATTTGTGCAATTTTCAGCTCTTTGCAAGCAATATTGAAGGAAATATCAGCCATCAAAAACTGCGCCATTGCTGTGTGGCAAAAAAGTTAACGAGTCAAACATTCTATGTAAAATTTCGAGTTTTTAGAAGAGAATTTCTCCGAAACCATCCAGTGTATTGGGCTCAAATTTTCAGAGATAACTGAAACTGTTATGCTCTTTCAATATTCCGAGTTTTTATTTTATTAACATCATCAGATAGTGATAAGCATGTGTTAATGATAACAAACATCTTAATCAATAAATGCAGTCTTTCTCGAGTATGCCAAAATTAAGTAAGCAAAAGAAAGACTTTGATGGCAGGGTGCCGTCAGACACAAGATATCTCCTGAGCATTGTTTTGTAAAGTGTAGAACAAATAATAATCTCTCATTATTGTAATGAGGTGAAATTGTACTCAGCTTTTTTCTCCACTCTTAAAATTCATTGCCTAAAGCCCAACATTGTTGGCCAACAACTCCCAATGTTGCGTCTGTTTGCACGAAGCTAAAGTTTGACCTGTTTCAACCTTCGCACAACAACTCCCAACAACCGGGTGTGCAAATGGATGCCATCTGTAACATCCAACAATGTTGCATCTGTTTGCACATAGCTTAAGAACTATTTTGACAGTAAAATGTATGACTAGAAGTCACGAAAATGATGTAAGGCCCTGTAAAAGTGCTGCAAGTCATGAAATTATCACTGGCAGTGTTTCGCCTCCACATTGCTTCACGTTTGAAAAAGAATAAGTTTCTCGCAAGACACAGGGGGGGGGGGGGAATAAAGTGTGCCTTGGTTGTTTGCTGTATTGACGTTTCCATGTATCTTTTCTGAATCTATTTTGACAAAGGTTTGTTAAGTGCCCTTACTTCCCTTAAGTTTAGTCTTCCCAATGTTACATTCAGAACATTAAATGCTCTGAATGTACAACTCACTGGTTTCAAAATTATTTCGAAACCAGTGAATTTTACTTCTCCTAATGAATCAAACACTTCTACTAGAAAGAACAGTAGTCTTGCAACAACAAAACACTTAGGACAAATAATAATTATTTCCATTTTTCTAGACGGCTACTTTATTCCCACATTTTTTTTGCAAACAGAAAACAAAGATAAACTTGAAATCCTGTACAGACCAGAGGTATATAATATGTAAAAAGTTGTTGTGGCATCATTAATTTACATTGTCAGCTCCTAAAAAAGAAAGTAAAGACATACACATTAACCCTCAAGAGTCTCAAGAGTGACAAACATCAATTTTCCCCTAATATTATTAATACATAATCAATAGAAAAAGTTATGAGAATTAATAAATGATCACCAAAGGAAAAATGCCATGATCTTTTATCAAATTCTCCCAACTGACTATGAAAGGAAATGTATAGAGGTAACTCTGGAGAATTTGTATGCTTATATTGGGTTTAAGGGTTAAGAACACTTTCCATTTCAGAAAAGAAGCTGTAGTTTTAATAGCCTGAGAAAACAGCTGACATTTTGCGACACTATGACTGATTTTCCCACCAAATGACATCTGAGAAATGAGGGCAGAAATTCCACACAGATGACGCAGCAATTCCCAGATCTGGGTGGTGCTTCTGATTGGTTGGCCGAATGGGAAATTTGATTTAACCAATCAGAGGCACTACCCAGACCTACGTAGCGACACATCATCAGAATGGAATTTCTGCACTGGTTTCTCAGACATCATTTGGCAGGGAAACCAGTGGTAGCGTCGCTAAATATTGGCTGTTTTCTCAGGCTATAAATTTAACACTGAACTTTGTGAATAAAATCTTCCAATTTGACAACTATGGCCTTAGCTGATCAACATGCAAATGATGACTGCTGATAAGATTTACCCTTGGAAAATTTCAAACAAAAATCATACCACTAAAGCTGATTAGACATAAGATCAAAAGACTCCTTTCAAAATGATTGCCAAGTTCTAGAATACTAGCCCTGATTGGATTTGTTTGGAACTCTCCCTGGGCAAAGCCAAATATTATAGAATATTGCTCCCAAATCATGATGAGACCTACACTCTCAGTCAAACTTGTTGGGACACTTTACTTTCTCCTCACCCTCCCAATGTTTGCGCACAAGATTTGGTGAATTGACTGTGATTAACATCATTGGGAGGAGGGGAGACGCGGCAGGAGGAAAAGAACAGCACCCAGTGGACATGTCCCCACTATTTTTTGGCTGATACTGTAACACTTTGACCCTTGAAAGTTTAGTACAAAAGCTCTACGGTTAAAGCAGGAGGCCATCAACCTTTATTTACATTAACATAGCAAAATACCAAGTCATTATCCTTTTCCTGGCTGACGAGCAAGCTTGCTGCTTGGGGAATAATGTGAATTGAAATGGAGAGCTTGCTTGCAAGATATCCTTTCTAGTAAGAGTGTAGGGCAAAATCGATCCCAGGGCTGTCATTAAGGTTGTAAGTGGCTGGTCTCTCAAGGAAAGTAGCCAACAGATAAGTGCCGGTCATTTGTTCGACTAAATTAATTTCAACCTTAATATAGTAAGATGATTAAAGTGTAGTAACTGGCTAACAAAGCCGGCTGCTGGCTACTAATGACAGCCCTCTCATCCATTATGAAATGCACATTTGCAACAAAACCTTGCAGTAAAAAAAAAATTGAGAAAACTCAGATAGCAAGGAGCCTTACCATTATAGCATTGACAATATCGTTATCATTGTTTTTGAGAGCTTTAATGGCCTGTAAGAAACAAAAAAATGACTTCATAAACACTAAATTTAATGCAATAATGGGAACGCAAGTATATTTTGAATGGATAAGGAAAGAACAAAGGTTATAGTTGATACATTTTAAGTTGCACCTTTTTAGATAATTTTATTCCTCCCAGGGACATCTGACTTTCCCCCCTCTGGTTTGGCCTTCTGTCTGCACTAAAGTGGCACTTCAACTGACCAAAACATTTTTAACATGCTATGCACGGTTTCTTTTTTGAGTCCACAGCAAAACTAAGGATGTTGCAATATGGACTTTGCCTTAATCCTTGGAGAGTAAACATAAATTCAATAACGTGAATGAAGAGTAATCTATTAAACTGACCTTTGATCTCGAGACATTTGCCTGTTGTACGACAAGTTCGATATCTTTTTCTTCCACTCCAGTTGCATTAACCTTCAAAATACATTGTAAAGTAACAATTCATTGTCACATAAAAAAATAAGGTTAAAGGGATATAAGATAGAAAGAGGAATAGATTTTTAGGGCTGATCACTTTAATAGCTGAAAGTTGAAGGATTGACCCTCTCAATTCCAAAAGTCACCAAAGTTCTGTAAAATTTTATTACTTTTGTTTTGTAAAATTCAAAAATAAAACCAAATAGTACCAGGAGAAAATACTGCAGCGCTAAAGAGAATTTATATGAATAGTAATACTATAAGATTTCATCCACATATTCAAAAGTTAAAACCATCTCACAAGAAGACTTTATTAATCACTCTGGAAGTGAAAGGGTTAAATATTAACCTGAGAGCAATTCAAACAAACAAGGGAAAAAACTGAGATTTATATGTAGAAAGTACAGGTCTCGAATCTCAAAAACAGCACTTTTTTCAAGCAGAAGATTTAAGTTACCTCTTCTTCATCAGATTCTTCTTCCTGTTCAATGGCAGCAGCCTTAGCTTCAGACACAACAGGGGCAGGTTGAGGGGCCTTGAATTTTTCAGCAGCCTAAGACATAGTAAAACAGAAAGGAAAGCTCATTTGTGCAGGATCAGGAGCTGTTGTCATGAATAGCTGACACGCACTCAGAGGAAGATTCCAGATTTTAGAATGCTACTACATGTACATGGCACACAAGCATCACAAATATAGCGATAAAAAATATTATATACTTGAAATACACAAAATGTCAAACAAAAGACCAGTACATTTCAATGCTTACCTCCACTTGTGCTTGCTGGCTTAGATCTTCAATCTGCATTAAGAACAAATTAAACAATATTGAAAATACATTATTTGATAAAATTTTTTAAAAAAGTCAACATATGACGTTTTCTTCACTGAAAATACCCTTTTAGGTTTGTTCACAATAATCTTGTGACAATAACCTCCCTTTACCCTACAATCTAACCTTCCTACTAAAGAAAAAGAACAGTGCCCTCAGCTCTCATAATCTTTAGATCAAAGGACCACTTCTGACCTGGCCTGTCCACCATGTATGGAAGTTACAACACGAAGCACAGAAATGTAGATTTGTATGCAAGACACATGTTTACAAAAAACAACAACAGGCACAAACAATGGATAGCAGGCTTCCAAGCCAGGCAGACATTCCTCACCATAAGGCATCTTTATCGTCATCGGGCACAAAACTATTTCTTTCATTTGTTTCTCAAAACTACTCCAATGTTATTATTAGGACTTATTTTAACCCCCCAAAAATCCTTTGATCATCGCCATAACTTGAAATCCCGAGTACCACCCCCCCAGGAGGGGGGGGAGCAACAAATCTTGGTTTTTGTTTAAGAGTTGGTTATACGACTCTCATTCAAGGCAAGGAAGCCTTTTGTAACGATTGAACTTAAAGTGATGTTACTACTCTAGGGTTTTGAGAAACAAAATCCTTGGATGTAAACAGAACAGTAATATTCATACAGTATTGTTACATACCTTTGCCTCTCCAAACACAATGTAGGTGTCAGATCCTGGACTTCTGTATACATCAGGTTTACTGATAACAAACAATATATTCTTGGATTTTCTTATCGCTACCCGTTTAACTCCTGACACACTTTTGAGTCCTAGCTTTGACATAGCCTTGCGAGCTTTCTTCTCACTTCGGCTTTGTTTAGCTTTGCTAACTGGTTCTTCGGTCAATCCAGCAGCAGCTGCTATATCACTTGTTATATTGGGCTGTCCAGCATCTCCTTCTTCAAGCTCTGGCAGTTCATCATCACTGTCACTCTCGGTCCCTGAAACAACATTAGAATTAAAACAGATCCATATATTGAAAACAAAAATTTAAGTTGGGGGAATACCTAGCTCGTTTAGCGGGCAGTGGATGCTCAGGAGGTTTTGTATACTGGATTTTTCCAAACACGGACATATGACTTTTCTGCAACTAATACACCGCCTTGAATGATCTTCCAAATGGTTGTAAAGAAAGAGCTTAAGCTTCAGTCAAAATTATCCATTAAGGTTTTAGAAAAATGTATATAATTCTCCTTTCAAAAATTAGTTGCATTTCAGGGTGGCAACTGTTCTGTACTTTGCATCAATGAATTTTTTGACACAAGACCAAAGGGTTTTTCAGTATTCACACCAAACTGATCACTGTTTGTTGTGTTTGCTGAGCAACAACAGTAAAAATGTTTTATTTTGCACAATTTATTGTGATATCATTTGAAAAAAGCATCTCACCTTGATAATTTCTAGATCTGGTAAACAAAGTAATCAAGTTTGGACCATGCATGCTGAGAAGCGCCCCCTACTTAATTGTGATTGGTCACGTATTGACAGTTGATGTTATCGGATTAGTTAGGGAGTTGCTAGGAGGAATACAAAAACACGGGCTGTTATAACAGGTGCTCCCTTCCCTTTTTCCCTTTCTCCACATTTCCCTTCCATTTTTGCATCTGCCATGCAGGCTGTTAAGCACCCTCCTTCTATCAAAGTTTGCGAAAAATCATGAGCCATAATTCAAGAGTATTTAATTTTGCCATTTCTAGGGATTTTTAGGGGGGTTTAGAAAAATTTTTCCGATTTTAGGAGATTTTAAGATTTTGCAAGTATCAAATTTAAGATTTTCCCCAAATTGCAAAAAGAGCAAAAATTTAGTACTAGTGAGAAGTGAGAATAAGGTAATCTATAACCACTTCCCAGAATATCGATATGGCCAGCTGGAGCTCATAGCATTGACAAAGTAAAATACAGTGTAGCAAGGTAGAATTGGATCAGTATTAAACAATACACATGATTTCTCCTTCTTATAGGAGCCCCTCCTTTAGCCATAATTTTAAATAAGTGCCTGGGAACTTATTGAGGGGGACATTGGGGTCTACGGTATTGAGCTTTTTTTTGATGTATAATGGTCATTTTAATTTTACTGTGCAGTACTGCAGTACCATCTGGCCCTGCAGTATGTGGTTTTTACATGGCTACGTTGTAATTTAGGCAAGGTTAACCTCGAGACAACACTAGCGGGTCAGCAGTTGAGCCCCAGTCAGGCAGGCTTGTGCGGGGTGGCCACTTGGTCTGCAGAGGCTGACATGTTATTGCATATCTCAGCTCTGCTTTGCTCTTCTGATTTTTGTGGATCATTGTGAATTCACAGCTTGTGATATCTGCTGGTTTTGCTCCCACTCCTCCCATCCCTGGATAGGTAAGTATGGTTTGACATTTCACTGAACTCCTTCAGTGTGATAGTACCAGGTGGTTGCCATGGTTACCTGAAAAGCAATGCTCCCCTTATTGTTCACATGCACCCCCCTGTCTAATACAGGTCAATGCAATAAGCAACAAAACAAAGTAAGCTATACTGGTTGATAAAAATAATATTTTTAAGTCTAGACATCATGGCAAACTATTCCACAATTTCTGACAGTTAACCTATGGTGGAATTTTTGATGCATGCAATGACCAGGCTTTTCGGTCCATGTACTGATAAATGTGAGGTCTTCTCACGTTTTCTAGCAATAGCTAATGTTGATTTCTGCTGCAAACATGCTTCATAGAAAATACAAATATGCAAGATAGATAAAACTTTAAGTAAGTGTGACCGATCATTAATGTGGTATTGCCAACTTTTTGTATGCAGGGCATACCCTTTTCTGAACAAAAAATTGAAGGACACATTTCCCATTTTTCAAGGACTCCATTCAGTGCAAAAAAGAGCCTTGAGGCTATGTCTTTTTTAGTTCTTTCACCACATGAGTAATTTTATCCCGAAGGTCTTTCTGTGTTTGCTCCTTTCTCTTTGGAGTTCTACTTAAGGTATCATCCACCCTCAAGCACCCTCCTTGCGTTGATCGGCGGTAGCGCTTTTGCTTTTAATAAATACCCCCATAAACCGTACATTTTCTGAAAGCTTAATAGTTCCAGATTGTTGCTTATTCCTTTTAAAAAATCAAAATATTAACGCGATTTAGAAATGAGAAGCTTTTTGTGAAAGTGGGTGTCACTGTAAATTTAAGTCCAGGCCAGCCAAAAATAAACGGAAGAAGCCAATTAAGATCGCATTCGCTTCTTAACAGGTTTGACGAAAAAACCGTGTCTCAGATTTTTGTCAAGTGCGTTTGTTCTTTTGTTATAAGCAGTTGAAGTTAGGGATAGTAAATCATTAGCACTACCTGTGAAAAAACTACTCTAACTCGAAAACGAAAAAACGAAATCAAAATTCGCAGACACGGTTTTTTAGAAAAACTATCCGATGGGTTGCTGACTTGGAGTTTAAAACGTACCCTCAACTTGCCCTGATTTTCATTTCGAGTGTATTACCCGTGACGAGATTATAACAGATTATAACACTAAAGCTGTCAATGTTGATGCATACCAGAGAAGGGACAACAATAGTGACACAGCAGGAAAAGGTTAAAAACGAAACCCGACAACAATTTATTTCAGAGGCTCTGCTCTGTTCGATACTTTCTGTTGTCTAGAAAGCATCATTACATATTTGCAACGGGCAGTTTTCATTTTCGCACCGGGCAAGCCAAGTTGAGCCAAGCAAAATTTTACTCGATACATTTTCTAAAAGTTCGACACTTCCCTGGAAAAATTGACAACAAACCACCTCCTGGAGTTTTTCTTGAAGCTTCTCTCCCGCTACAATAGACTTTCAAAACAGTCCTTGGTCCGATTTTTATATGGCAGGGGACCTGTCGCGACTTTGTCGCCAGCCTGACCGCTTCGCGGCCAAAAAAGCTTGCCCCGCTCGCTAAGAAACTCGTTAAACTCGATTCCGCGATGGTTTCAATGGTTTTTCAGGAGCTTTGTCATCTTTTAGCCATTCTTCTTGATTGTAGTAGTAGCCCCCCAGAGTAGCCCCTGTCGCTCTCTGCTAATTTCGAAGCCCACTCTTTTGAAAAAAGGATTTTGTCATCTTCTTTCGTCTTGGAGTCGTGTACGAAAACGGACAAGCTTTTTTTTCTTCTTTGGAGGCATTCACTAACAAAATTCGGCAAAAACAGTGAGTACTATACTTGTAGACGACGATTTCTGTCAAATTGCGTGATTAGCTTGGTTCAACAGTGACATACGTATCAAGTACGACAGGACTTGTCAACGATCAATTAAAATAATTAGCATAGAAAAAACTTTTGTGCTCCATAAGTCTGCACAGAAAAAACATTTTTTCCTGGAATTTTTTTTTAAAGAAAGCTCTTGATTAGCTCTATTTAATCATTTAAAAATTGCAAATTTCGAAAAATCATGATTTTTTACCCTGGATGATACCTTAAACTATGAAGTTTACTTAGCATTGGAATTCAAGGACTTTCCAGCACCAACTGCAATTTTCAAGGACTTTGAAGGGCCTTGAATTTTTATTTCAAAATTCAAGGACTTTCAAGGTGTGTGCGAACCCTGCGTATGGTACTGTGGTATTGGGTACCCACAATGTCTCACTCCTTTTGCAAGAAAATAGGGTAGTAAGCTCAGACATCAGCATACAAGGGTACCACTGCATGTGACTAAATTGGTTAAATTTACGGAAAAAGTAAGAGCAGAAACACGAAACGGAGAAACAGATCACCTTACAATAAAGATTAAAGTTAACTCTTTCATGGGCCCTAAAGAAACATGACTGCTGAAATCTCCTCTTGATGTCAACAAAGTTGCAAATGTTGCTTTGCTGTCATTGAGAAGACAAACAACCAAAAACAGAACACAAAATCGTCAAAAACCGTTTCTGCTGATTTATATAAAGTGAGTACACGGAATCCTGATGTTATTTTTGCAAAAGAATGGAACACACATGGTGGCAAAAATTGTTTTACACGTGCAATCCAAGTGCTGAGGACGACGGGAAAGTATGTTAGCAAGACCTTCCAGCCCAATAAAATAAAACGCTTCCAGCAAAACAAAAGGACGTTTTTGTCCGTTTTTACTGAAAATGCAAAGCAAAAACCCTTCACTGTCCGTGAAACCAAATTCATTTCTCGACATCGGTAAGGCAAGATTGCGTCACTGTCGAAAATAACTTATAAACTGGGTAAAATCTTTAACTCTTCGGCGTTTCAGGCCAAACTTTTTACATAAACGTAATTAATAACGTTGAAATTTTAAACAATCCTATTCTCAAGCTCGGAGTATTTTTCTTACCTTCGGCATTAGCCTCTTCTTCAGCCGGTGGGTTTTCTACGGCAGGCGTCATCTGCAACAAGGGCCACAACACATCAATAAATCGCAGGAAACCTTGGCTGCTATTCTCGAAATAACCAACGAATCGAATGAAACAGTAGCTGAAGTAACTCTTAAACATACTACGTACTTGGTTAAGAACTTAACAACAGCGATGGAGAAAGATTTTTGCCACCTACCTTCAAGAAGAAACGTTAGCTCCTGCTTGAGAGAGGAAAGGAATGAATAAGATGTCGCAAAGCATCATGGGAGAACATGCATTTTTGGAAAGGGAAACAATTGATGTGGACAGGACTGCCGGAATTGAGGGAATCCTTTGGGAATGCCATTGATCTGAAGACAAAATCCACGAAAACGCAAAAATTATTTCTTGAATTCTAATTTTTCTCTTGGCATTTGAGCCCAGGGTGGAGAACTTGAGCTACAACAGGGCGGCGCGTACCTCTACCCAATCAGGCCCACCCCGGGGCAAGTGAAGAGAAATTGAGTAAGCAGTAGGGAGATATGAGGAAATCTTTAGTTGGGAGCCATACATAGAGACAGATGATAGTAGTTTTCCAGTGTAAGATATATACATTTTCAAAAGTCATCTGGAGTGACCGCAGGAGCGGATCCTGTGTGACCGTTACAGATTATAACAAGACAACAATTGTAGTTTTACAAAATTTACAAGGGGTCTGAAAATAAAATAAAGAATTCAAAATTCTTAATAGTAAAATACAAAAGGCAACAGCTAATAAAGCATCAGCTTTTCACTGCTGATGTTGACATTAAAGTCTTTATGATAAGAGTAATCTTGAATTGCGCACACGCCAGTCTTTTTGCGCTTGAGGTCAGTCGACCTGTTTTCAGGGGGAACCCCCATATAAAAGTGACTGGGATGTTCTTCGTCTCGCTTACGGGTATAAATTGCGGATTTTGGTGTCACTTCTAGACGTTTTGGTTGGGGTCGGGACAGAAAGCAAGCATTTCCTTTTACCCATAAAGGCGTGAATAAATCTCAGAAATACCTGTATCGACTGTATCTAGTAAAAAACATTTTCTGTCATACTGTATTGAAAAATGGGTCCTAAAGGAGCCATAAAGCCCATTTAGTCACACCCAGATCTGTACTTGTCAAGGGGCATAACAAAATTTTTCGTATTGCGTGAAGATCATGGGTCATCGTCTATAGGCTTTGAAAGACTGTGCAAGCATAATTTTTGGCATAATTCGTCATTACGAGAGTAGTTTTTCATATATTTCTCTCGAAAAAAGCACTACAAGCATAATTTGCTCTTTTGGCTAATTTTGCAGCCCAAAATTGTCATTTAGTGATCATGGAACCAATTTTTTTTGGCCCGTAATAAGTGTTACGGACAAATTTAAGAAACAAAATCAATTTTCGTCCCCTTGTTGTCGCATTCATGGGACCTGGATTCCACAGGACGTGACCCAGGTCTCCTTCCACAGGACTCTATGCGCATAACTATTGGCATAATTAATTATTTTTAGAAATATATGAGCACTGCTAGTAGCATAATAGGCCACTTCCGAGGTCCAAAAACCCTCCTCACAACTGTGCAAGCACTGTGTACTGTGTAAGTGTACAACCTTTCTTGTGAAAATGAGTTTTATTTGCATGAGAATGAAAAATCATTTCCATATCAAAGGCTGAGCACTTAACCTCTTTTTGATACAGAGGCCCGGGGAAACTCTGAAATGTCCTATTATACTGCTACTTTTGCGAGCATAATCTATCAGAACCTAATCGTCTTTTAATTGATTTCTATGAAACTTTAAAACGGTTAGCCTTTACTTAGATTTACACATGCAACGAGAAATATATGCCCTCTTTGGCCCCCGCTGAGCTTTGTGTACCAGACACAAATGACGTGACGTAAAACAAAAGAACAAAAAACATGAAATAATACCTCTGCGAAGGAAAGGTGAGCCCCTGCTACTTTAGGGGCATTTTAGGC